TCAGAACCCACTTCTCCCATACCAGTCTCTGAGCCACATGTTTTACCCTGTGCTACTTTGCATGGAGCTCGGGTAATAATCCAGAGATTATTACTGTTGAGATTCTGCTTTTTATTTTGGTTTATGTCAGACTGTTATCCCATCTCCTGTATTTCTACAGAAGTAAATATTTCTGAAGAACTATATATTTTGGGGCTTGAATTTCTTCGTTTTCATTGCAATGGTAAAAGAGCCCAACCCAGAGAAACCATGTCCTTCATTGCTGTGAGACATTGACTAGAACAAATAAAGTGAGGGTTGATATGCTCAAAAAAAAAATTCACACAAGAAACCATGACACAAAGGGCCACGTTTTGATTTGCGTTATTTTAAAGGACAAAAAAGGGGAGAGGGTGCAGGGGATGTAATAAATGCAAGCTTCTAATGTCAGGGAGATCTTCAATATGTGGAGGGTATTCAATGCAATCGAAAGGGATTCTGATTCCTTCCTCCCAACCCCTCAACCTTGCTCCAAGCCTCCCCCGCCCTTCAGTGTTCTACCATTTCCATATGAGAGTGCTAGATCTAGTTGGGGTGTGTTATCCAAGGAGTCCACAGGGGTGTTGGATAACAATCAAGAATTTCCCTGAACTTTTTCCTCAAACTCAGAGTAATGACATCCATTATAGTATCTGTCCCAATGCTGAGCTGAAGCTGAGCCAAAGTAGCTCAGAACAACACAATTGGCTCCTCCCATTCAACACAGCACTACACCAGAATAGTTACTTTATATCACCCCTGAAACCCTGAGGTTAGGTCTATTCAACTTTAATACATTCCTAACATTTGTCTCAATTTATTCATTATAGCATTGCATGGAATACAATAACAACAACCAAAAGCCAAGAAAAGTAATAGAGAGTGACAAACAACAAGAGAGAAGAAAGATTACTTACTGTTCCTTCTCACTACGCAGAGGATTAAGCAAAGAAAGAAAATGAAAAATTAAAATAAAATTCCAATTCACAAGAGGACACAGGTTTCCTGCAGCATTTTTAATGTTACCAGGATATCAGGTTGAGTAAAAGCCCAAGATTTTTAAATCACTGCCTTCAGTCGAGAAGTGACATTTGGTATACCTTGACAGCCCAACTTGTAACTTATTATAAAGAAGGAATGAAAATTGAACTTAGAAGCAAGCATCAAGTCTGAAGCAATTCAATCTGTCTTCAGAAGACTAAGAAGCATTGCATCAGTCCTCTGTGTGTTAACAGACTTATCTATGCTACATTCACAATGTGTATTCTCAATGAGATCTGCACTATAGTAGAATCTTACTCAGATCTACAATGCATTCTCATAAGGATTTTGGAAGGCCCACTTAGATGCTCTACAGTGTGAAACAGGCCATTTGGCCCATTGAGTCCACACCAACCCTCTGAAGAGCATCCCACCCCGACTCACCTCCTGTACCCTATCCCTGTAACCTTGCATTTCCCATGGCTAATCCACCTACCCTGCATATGCCTAGACACTGTGGGCAATTTAGCATGGCCATTCCATGTAACCTGCAAATCTTTGGACTGAGGGAGGAAACCAGAGCACCCGGAGGGTACCCACACGGACAAAGGGAGAATGTACAAACTCCACACAGATGGTCACCTGAGGGTGGGATTGAACCCGTGTCCCTGGTGCTGTGAGGCAGCAGTGCTAACCACTGAGCCTCCATGTCACCCGATTGGTTGGACAAGTACAGTGGAGTAGGAACCCCCACCCTCGCTCTCATTCCACATCCCAAGAAATAGGATTATCTACATATCCAGGGCACCCATTCTGGCATTTCAGCAGCACCTTTCCCAGCCTAATCCACTTCAGCCTCAATCATTTCCACCAATGTCAACACCTCTTTCAAATGCCTGTGCCTCCAATTCTCCTGCCCACTGTCTGTTAAACAATTAAACAATGGTTTTGGTTTTCAAAGTAAAGCTGATGGCAGCTTTGCTTCAAAGCAAACCCTCCAAATCGTAAACTGAATTGCTGTGTCCTTTATTTCAGACTCACAGGCTTTTACTCAACCCCAGAGTAGAAAATACAGATCCAGGGCTTGTTTTACCTCAGTGCAGAGCATTCATTCATTAAATTAAATGGGATCATGCAGCACTGACCACACATATGACAATGTTTGAAACCATGCAGTGTTGTTACAGGATGTGTACGACTGTAAATACAACACAGCTCACTGAGCATGCAAGGCCACATTTATAATCATGCTAACATTCTGTAAAATAGAGCACCAAAAAGACAATCATCTTACACAATACCCAAAGAAGCAGCTAGATAATGGATGACTATGGTCTTGCTGTGGCACCAGAACTGGACTAATTAGTGAAAGATTATTGCCTAATACATGGATTTCCAGTGGATTGAAATAGCAGACAAATGAATGCTTTTTGCATACATTGACTGTTGGTCTGCTAATACTGATTGCAGCAATTCCTAGGTTTCTATCTTCAAAACAGCAGTTAATGACTTAGCATTCACTTTCACTAAAACAGAGTTGAATCATCAAGTATTGTGCAGCAAAGGTGTGAATCAAACTTGAATCTATTGCTCTATAAATTGGAAGCAAAAACATATCTAACAGTGCAATAGTGGCAATCCTCAGGAATGCTCGAATTCACTCGTTCCTAATGTTTCAGGAATAATGAATTAGCTTCAGGCTGCTCATCTACTCCCAAAGCCTGGAGGTTGGCTAATGTGGTGCCACTATTTAAGAAAGATGGTAAGGAAAAGCCAGGGAACTATAGACCAGAGAGCCTTACGTCAGTGGTGGCTAAGTTGTTGGAAGGGATTCTGAGGGACAGGATTTACAAGCTTATGGAATGGCAAGAACTGATTAGGGATAGTCAACATGGCTTTGTGCGTGGGAAATCTTGTCTCACTAACTTGATTGAATTTTTTGAAGAGGTGACAAAGAAGATTGATGAAGGCAGAGCAGTAGACATTGTCCATATGGACTTCAGCAAAGCATTTCAACAAGATTCTGAAAGGTATGCTGGTTAGCAGAGTTAGATCACATGGGATCCGGGGGAGCTAACCAATTGGATATAAAATTGGCTTGTCAGTAGGAGACAGAGGGTGGTGGTGGAGGCTTGTTTTTCGGTCTGGGGGCCTATGAACAGTGGCGGGCCACAAAGATCGGTGCTGGGTCCACGGCTTTTCATTATTTATATAAATAATGTGGAAGTGAGTATAGGAGGCATGGTTAGTAAGTTTGCAGATGTCACCAAAATTGGTGGTGTAGTGGACAGTGAAGTAGGTTATCTCAGAGTACAACAGGACCTTGATCAGATGGATCAATGGGTGAGGATTGGCAGATGAAGTTTAATTTAGATAAATGTGAGGTGTTGCATTTTGGTAAGGCAGACTTATACAGTTAATGGTATGACGTAGGGAGTGCTGCCGAACAGAGCTAGGGGTGCAGGTGCACAGTTTCTTGAAAGTGGAGTTGCAGGTCGACAGGGTGACAAAGAAGGCGTTTGGCACGTTTGCCTTCATTGGTTATAACATTGAGTATAGGAGTTGGGATGTCATGTTGCAGCTGAACAGGGTGTTGGTGTGGCCATTTTTAGAATGCTGTATACAATTCTGATCATCCCTCTGTAGGAAAGATGTTGTTAAACTTGAGAGGGTGCAGAAAAGATTTACAAGGATTTTGCTAGGACTGGAAGGTTTGAGCTATGGGAAGAGACTGAATAGGCTGGGTATTTTTTCCCTGGAGTGTCAGAGGCTAAGGGCTAACCTTATAGAGGTTTATTAATTCATGAGGGGCATAGATAGGGTAAATAGCCAATGTCTTTTTCCTTGGGTGGGGGGAGACCAAAATTAGCGGGCATAGGTTTAAGGTGAGAGGGGAAAGATTTACAAAGGATCTGAGGGGTAACAGAGGGTGGTGTGTGTATGGAGTGGTGGATACAATTACAACATTTAAAAGACATCTGGATGGATACATGAATAGGAAGGCTTTAGAGCGATATAGGTTAAATGTTAGAAAATTGGACTGGGTCAGATTGGGATGTCGAGTCAGTGTGGATGAGTTGGACCAAAGGGTCTGTTTCTGTACTGTATGACTCTATGACTCATAGCGCAGTAGAGTCAATAAGAGGAACAGGTCAACTTCCTCTTTTCCTGCTTGGCATCCCAGAGACCTAGCGCATTCTGTACCTGATATCTCAGGGGCTCTACAGTAGACTGTGCCCAGTGTCTTCAGGGGCACCTCTGCCCAGGGTCTGGAGGAGCCTGTGTCTCATTTTGTGAATAGTGCAGTAGCTGACCTGGGATGTTTAATGTCAATGAGGCTGGACTAAATTTCTTGCCTACCAAAGACAAACTTTAGCTCATTCAACAGATTTCAAACTCTTCTGTCTCCAAATTACTCTAAGGACTCATCATATGGGTACCATCCTCGTCAGGACACAATTGTTTAATTATCACAACCGTGAGAAAATATGAGGCCAAACAGGGGCTGGCCAAAACTCCACTGAGAATTCTCAACAACTGTACTTCTGTCTTCAACAGCCCATGGGTGGCAAGAATACACTTGACCTTGATTTAAAAGATATAGTCAACACACGTAACCTGCTTCACTTGACCATTACCACTGCAGAGATTTTCTCAGTCTTTATTCGTCATTATTTAAAAGTTCAGTGCCAAAGCAAAAATTGGAAGAAAAGCAGTGATTGCCCAAGATAAGTGGTGAAAAGTCCATGACTCTCCATGGAAGTGGGGGCAGGGGGGTGCTGTGTGAAGGTGTGCTATGATAATGGATTGCAGCATAACATCTAGAACAGGTTGATCATCGACATTTTGGGTTTCAATAAGAATACAATGCAACTGAGTGTGACTGAGCATGCAAAAAACAGGTACGAAGGAGATACTGAAGTAAAGTTCTTTTATCATCCTGCGAGACTTCCACATGCATTCTTGAAAAAGCAAGTTTAGGAACGACTGTTTTTGCTTACTTTGCTCTGAGAGTGAGCTGGCGATCATTTGGACAGACCCAGCGGTCAGTGTTGTTCCCAAATACAGTGTTCGTCATGGCTGGCAGCTGCTAAAAGGCAGCAGGATCTGCATAAAACAAAACAGCAGAAAGATTGGAGTTTAGTTCTGAAGTAAACTAATTTTGTCAAGTTGCATTGCAATATAACACGATTAGCCAAAATTTAATTCAATGGATTCGGAAATTAATTCACTTCAAAATGTTTTTTCACAAGACTCTACACAGATATTTTTAATCAATCTGTTAAAAACATGATATGACAGATCTCTGGGGTAGGCAGGGCTTGAACCTAGGGCTATCTAGCCCAGAGGTAGTGACATGGTCACTGCACCACAAGAACCTCTCACAAGACTCACCATATTCTCAACTCAATGACAGGCAATGACCAATCAAAACCAATCAATAGGCATAACCTATCAAAGCTAGCATCTGTTTTGAGAAGGCCATTGCTCTTAAATTGTCAACTCACCTCACTTCCAACATTATTTCTGCATCCAATTCACCTTTTCTGCTTTTGTGATATGACTTTTAACTATTCAAGCAAAGTATTAAGGGAACAAAAACAAAGTTGCTGGAAAAGCTCAGCAGGTCTGGCAGCATCTGAGAAGGAAAAAACAGTTAACGTTTCAGGTCCAGTGACCCTTCCTCAGAACCCAGTTCTGTTTTTTTTCTTCACAGATGCTGCCAGACCTGTTGAGATTTTCCAGCAACTTCTGTTTTTGTTCCTGATTTACAGCATCCGCAGTTCTTTCGGTTTTTTTAAAAGAATTAAGGGATATAGGTCTGTCGGTCAAAGCAGGATAAGATGGAAGAAGGTGAGGAGTGAAAGTTATGCCATTGGGAAAAATAAAGGGAAGTAAAAGAAAGGATCTTCAGAATGACACATTGAAATATTTAAAAGAAAATGAAGTGATCTTTTGGGTATATGGAGTTCAGTTTTGTGAAAGAAAATCTTGATTCCAAAAGCTCTGAGGAGAAGAAGGTACAAAACTGAGCCTGAGCATTGTAGTCTCAATACTTGAATAGATTACCTGAAATGACATCTTTCTTGACAAGAGGGTTGTCATCCACCAGGCTTTACAAGTAGAAATTTCACATAAATAACTCATACATATATTTAATCCTTCATTCCCTTACCATTCTGTTTCATGAGTCCCAACTGGCAAAGAATTACTTTTATATTAGTTTCACCTTTTTGCAGCTCCTCTGTAATGGAGATATCAGAAAAGCTTATTTGAGTTTTTTTTTAAATCAATTTAATGACAACTGTGCTTTCAACTCTCATTCGTAAAGTTTTAATTCGATTGATGATGCAATGCCTAATGATTTCAGACAGAAGAGAATACAAAACTGTAATTTCAGCACAAAATTAATCTGGAAACCATTTGATCTTTTCTTTACAATGACAGTTGGACGACCAAACTAAGAACATGAGGAAGAAAAGGCCAGACACTCTCTTGGCCCTGTTCTTTCCACAGTTCTTAAACAGCCTGCTCAGTCTTGGAATCCACCCGAACCATTTCAGTTCCTGCAGGAACTTCTAATTCATCTTATTACCTGCTCCTAAGAATTTAACATGCTATATATAATTCAAATCCGTTACGGCTTTTCCTCAGTTAATCTCACCAAGGCAGTGTGTACTCAGCCCTCTAATATCGGGGTAGCGACCATGAATGAGGTATTCACATCATCTGATTTATTCTAATTATAAATGATAAAAAAAACCCCAGAACATATTATCGTAAATGTACTTTAAAGTAATGGTCCAATCTGATTTTTGAAAAAAGGCATAGGAAACAAATTACAATTCTGAAAAGACGTCATCTCCCATTCTAAATGGGTTTTCTTGGTTCCAATGAACATATTTTAGAAAAGCAAATACCGAAAGCCATATATTACATCACCAACACAGCTCCATACATTACTGAGATTGGGTTCAATCCTCTGTTGCATTCAATTCCCAACCTCAAATAGGAATAGGAGTAAACCTCTCTAATAGGTTCAAAATCTCCAGAGAAATCCATATGGCAAACGGTGATAGGAGGAATAAAAAGAGCTTGTATTTAAATAGCACCCAATCATACTCTCGGAATGTCTCCTGTAATACATTTCCTTTGAAGTGCAGTCACTCTTATTATCTGAGTAGAATTGAGGGAAAAGCTTGCAGCAAAGCCCCAGAAATTCCCAGTCAACAGATTGTCTGTGTTTGTTCTCCTTGAGTGATATTGGTTTAAGGGAGGAATGTTGATTGGATTGCATAAGAACTCCTCATTTTCAAGGCCACAGTTTTATGTCTCATTAAACAGATGATACATCCAACAACAGAAGACATCCTCCTTTTTTTTGCACTGACGCACAGTTTGGATTATGTTTGGGCTCCATTCTGGGACTTGAACCCATAACCTCTAGACACAGAGGCAAGGGTGTGACCAACTGTGCCCACCTGACATTTGCCCAGCAACACACAATATTTACAGATTTATATTGGTCATGCGGTAAGTTCTGACCAACAGTACCATAACATTCTCTCAGTGTTACACATTAAAATGTTGGTGGCTTTTATTATCTCAGTGATGTAAACAAATCTGTTTGACATATGCTGAATTCAAGGCAACTGCAATAAACCAGTGTTATACCTAAAGGTTATTAAACTGAAGCATAATGGACTCAATACAATTAAATACAATAGCAACTGGACTTAAAGATCATTTAAATCAAGGGATATTGGACAAGAGCCTCTGGACTCGCACCATTTCACAAGAAGATTACTGACAGTTTTGCAAACAGCTACATTTATATTTTGGCTTAGAATCTCAATCCATTTTATTTTAAAATAAAATCTCAAGTTTTTATCCAGTATTTTTGGCAAGGTTGTTGTGACAGAAAAACGGCAGGAATAAAAAAAAGTGTCACTTTGTGATTAAATGTGTGATTGAACAACGCTTCTTTATAATGTATAATCCTGTCTTTGATAACTTTGGCTGCACAAAATGAAGAAAAACCCTTGCCGTCTTGACATTTTAGCAGTTAAAAGATGAAGAGGGTAATTACTTGGAACACTAATAGCACTGTAAGTCGCTGGCCATGGATCATATTCCAGGCAGGCAAAGCAACGTACTGCATTGCCTAATATTTGCGCTATCAAGCACTTCCATTAAGAACAGGACCTCTCAGCAGTTTGACAACTATTCTTATACTCTATCATTTATTGTGACGTTGAAACAGCTAACTAATTTATATGATATTACTTAGGATTGAAGCTTTACATCACCAGTTTAAGCCAGATGAGAACAGGTTGGGTGACAGGATTAATAAATTTGTTGTATGGCATTCACCACATCCAGTGTATATATATCTTGGAACATTTTAACCCCCTTGTTTCAAACAGTGTGTGAGGCTTTTGTTCTCAACAAGCAAACAAAATCTCATTGAGATTCAACAGTTTAAGAAATGTGACTTCAATTAGACCATGACTACTATTCCTGAGCTGTACTGTCCAAGGGAGCAGACCCAGAAGAGGATTGAGGTCCCACATGGAAACCATGGGCTTCCCCCTTCACTGGGCTGCCTCTCTCCACTGACCGTGAACACCTCTGACCTCTCCACCATGACCCAGATGTTAACCAGGACCTTCCTGACCCATGTGCTATTTCCATGGGTCCAAGGTCACAATCTCCTACTCCACTTGCCTGTGTCATGCCCATGGGCTTTGGCTCCTGTACTCGAGTGGAGGTCAAACCAGATATATTTATTTGATGCCCAGGAATTAAAATAACCTAGGACTGATTTTTTTAAAAAATATTCATTCACAGGATGAGGGCGTTGCTGGCTAGGCCTGCATTTATCTCTCACAGGGCAGTTAAGAGTCAACCACATTAGCTATGGGTCTGGAGTCACATGTAGACCAGACCAGGTAAGGATGGCAGTTTCCTTCCCTAAAGGACGTTAGTGAACCAGATGAGTTTTTCCTGACAATGATTCTTAGTCATCATTAGACTCTTTAATTCGTGATATTTATTAAATTCAAATTCAACCAACTGCCATGGCAGGATTCAAACCCGGGTCCCCAGAATATTACCTGGGTCGCTGGATTACCAGTCCAGTAATAGTACCAGTAGACCATTGCCTCGTCCTGTCAGTCAGCCTGGGGCAAACATGATACTTACACTGGTGACCCAAACTTGCTGCTAAAGTCGTGCCCTTTCTGTAATGAGGAGGGAGAAAACATCCCATTCCCATTTTACACTTCCCACTGCACAAGCATTCTATCTGATCCTCTATATTTACACAAAATCATTTTGCAGTGAGAAAACCACCGTTAATGGATTCCGCTGTCTGAATGACTCGTTCACAGAACCATAAGATGCAACAACAGATGGTGATCTAATCATCATGAAAACTGCTTGACAAGTTGCCAGATCAGTCATTGAAAGTTTATTGACAAAGCTCAGAAAAAGAAGCCTGCCAATTGCTCAGTGGGTATAGATGCTGTGCTGAAGTGACAATGAGCCATTTCAGCCCCATGTCAGATCTCTAGTCTCTGCTCAGTCCACAGATGTCAGCAGATAGGGTACCCTCCTGCTCAAAGTACAATGTGTGGGCACTAGGTGAGAACAAGGGTGGCACTCGGCTGCAGTTTATCCACTGACATTCACTGCCTTTGTTTCACAAAGGTCGTCAACCAAGGACCTGTGTCTGAACAGGAATCAATGTCTCTGGAGAAGAGAAATAAAAGGAAAGCTAAATTAATCACCAAAATCATTTCAAAATGTTTTGATTGTAAAGTTCAGTCATCAAGCTTTTTGTCTTTAATGGGTTGGCAACCTTACTGGATATGCCAACGCAATTCAAATCAACAGACCATTAGTTTGTTTTGACTTGGATAGAGCATGTGGAGCTTGTTATAAATTATTATAATTCATTGCTTTCCATGGCACAACAAGCTGCATAATTTCATCGGATGCTCATTTGTTCCTTATTCAAGGGCAGCCAGCCTAAATGAAGGAAAGTGAACAGCTTGTATAGCTCTAGCACAGCCCTGGGACTTAGAGACCCACAGTGAGATGAC